TTTACAATTCCACTGCAAAAATGAAATACTTAGGAATTAATCTAACTAAAGAAGTAAAAGATCTATTCCATGAAAATTATAGTATTATGAAGAAAGAGATCATAGAGGATTTCAGAAAATGGAAAGTTATTCCCTGATCCTGAACTCAACACTGTGAAGATGACCATACTCCCAAAATTGCTGTACAGATTTAATGCCATCCCTATAAAAATGCCACTGACATACATGACAGATCTAGAGAAATCAGTCCTATTATTTATTTGGAACCAGAAAAGACCTGCAATAGCAAATGTAATCCTGGGTAAAAAAGACAAGGCAGGAGGCATTGCAATAACTGACTTGAAATTATACTACAAAGCTACTCTGATAATATCACCATGGTATTGACAAAAAATAAAAAATAAACCTGAGGATGAATAGAATAGATTACAAAATGCAGACGCAACTCCAAACACACTTAGCCATCTTCTTTTCAACAAAAGGGCCAAGCATGTTTACTGAAAGAAAGATAGCCTCTTTAACAAATGATGCTGGAAAAACTGGCTCTCTACATGCTGCAAACTAAAACTTGACCCAGGTCTATCACCATGCACTAAGCTAAAGTCACAATGGATTAAATATCTAAACATTAAAACAGAAACACTAAATCTGGAAGACGGTCATCAAAATAGTTCAGCATTTTAAAGCACCTGAAAGCAGACACAGGGGCCAGGGATTTGACCCCCATGCCTGCCATGCTGGCCCTGCCCCTAGGTCATGCTGAGACTAAAATTGAGACTGGGCATGGTGGTGCATGCCTGTAATCCCAGCTCTTGGGAGGCTGTAAACAGGTGGATCACTAGGAGTCTGATCTAGTAATGAGATCCTGAACACCCTGTAGACCCTTCACTAAAAATCCATCAATCAATAAATCTCTGGGAAGAGAAAGTAGGTGGAAATTTGAAGACAGAGGCATAGGCAAATAGTTCATGGAAAAAAAACTGCACAGGAATCACTTGAAGAATTAACAAGTGGGAACTCCTCTTATTGAGAAATTTTTGCATGTCAAAAGTAATTGCCCACAGAATGCAAAGAAAACCCACAAATTAAAAAAAAAACTTAACTAATAAGCACACAGAAAAAGGTCCTCTCTCTAGAACTTATAAAAAACTAAAATACATCATGGCCCCAAAATTTAAAGACCCAATCCAAAACTGGGAATCTGAGATGAACTCACACTTCTCAGAAGAAGAAATACACAAAGCAAATAAATATATGAAAAAATGCTCTACATCACTATCCATTCATTTAATGCAAATTAAAACAACACTGAGATACCATCTCACCTCAGAAAAAATGGCTATCATAAAATCAAGCAACAACAAATGTTGGAGGGGTTTGAGGAACAGGGACCCTTCTCAACTGCTGGTAGGAGAGTAGACTGGTGCAACCATTATGGAAATCAGTTCGGAGACTTCTCAAAATACTAGACCTGGACATCCCATTCAATCTTGGCATCCCATTCAATCTTGGCATCCCCCTTCTGGGAAATTTCCCAAAAGAGCTGAAAACATCGTATCATAGTGATATATGTGTGCCCATGTTTATAGCAGCACAATTTGTGATAGCCAGATCTTGGAAACAATCAAAATGCCTGTAACCTGAGTGACGCATGAAAAGATGTGGAATTTTTATACAACAGAGTATTACTCAGCTATAAAGAATAATAATCTCGAAGGCTTTGTATATAAGTGGATACAACTTGAAGCTATACTCACATGTGAAATAAACCAGATATACATGTGTAATTACTGTATTGTCTCTTTAGTGTAAAAACTGAAAGGAAATATAAGTTGAAAGTTATAACAGAGTTAAATGGAAAGAGAGAACTTAAGAATTAAGTAACATAGACTGAGAATGGAAAGAAGTTATGAAATATGGTAGGGGCAAAGCCATACATTTATATAAACAAGATGGTCCTAAGAATCTCCATCAGGTTTTTGAAAAATAGCAGTTAATGGGTAGAACTCTCATGTTGATTAACTCTTTATGCTGATATGGGTAAATTAAGCAATTACATTGAGGATAGCAATGTTTAATACACCACACTTGAAGTACCTGTCATTTTGGTCTTCTAAATGCATACTGATTCTAATGTCATATCAATTATGGCTATACTCTCCTTAAAGTAAATGTTCATTAAAAAAGTAATAAAACAAAGAGAGACAAGGAAAAAAATGTCGTAGATTGTCCTGTACAATGTTATATATGGTTTGATTTTTAAATTTCTGTATAAATACGTGTAATTGTTTTTTAAAATTCTATAGGGATTTACATTTTAGAATATCCATGGTTGTTGGAAAATAGCAGTTCTATTTTATGTCTAAGGTGTTTGATATTCAGACAGATAGTGATGTTAAGCTTAGCTGCCTCTGTTGCAGGGTAATGATATCATTAAGCTTCTCTTCTGGATGCTTACAACTAAGGTTTACAGAACAAAAGTTAGAGAGATAGATGAACTACAAGGATAGCCAATATTTTGTCCCTATCTCTTCAAGGTTAGGACATAAGAGAGCCTCTGCTGTGACATCTTGTAACTAAGTAGTGTCCCAAACTTTCTGATCAAGGAAATTATGTGACCACAGAGGAAAGTGATGGATGATGTACAACTGCCTTAGGAGTGTCACCTAGAGGAAAAAAAATTGTCTCAGGCTTTCACAGAGAGCAAATTGTTCAAGCAATGACCATGACTCATCCACATGGCTGACACACGCAAAAGATCTATAAGGTACTGTACATGGTTCCAGGGTAAGTCCTGAGGGGATTTGATTATCCATGTAAGATAGCAAAAGTTTCATTCTTAGTTATGTAGATCTTGCTTCAACTTGGTCTTAACTATCCAGCAGAAAAGTGTAAGCACAAGGTATAGAAAATAAAGCTATATTAACATGTTGAGCTGAAAAGGCTCAAGTCAACAACTTCTGAGAATTGCCAGATGTGCTGATAACTCACACTACTATTATGGACTATTAGATTATATTGAGTTACTTTGCTGAATTGAAGTACCTACAATCTTTGGACTGGTATCAAGTATGTAAAGGTACTTTAACGACTTCTCCAAATACAGCTTCTCTAATTGCAAAGGAACATACATCACTGCCAAAACAAAACAAAAAAGGTGGATATGTTGGGAGCCATGGAAGCTAGGAAATCTATTGAGTGTGCGTAGGCCAGACTAGACCGCAGTGCCTAAAGTAAACAAGGTACCTCAGTCCTGAGATAAACATCCTGTGGGTCAAAGTTGGCTATTAGACACTAGGAAAGCTTGTGTTACATGTTACCAACTTTGCAAAAGTATAAATAAAATACAGTTTAGTTTTGAAAAAAATATATATGTGCATACAACATACTTAGGATAGATATATAGTTATTTTCTCTTAGTTTATTGAGAGGTGAAGTTTGCACTAATTGTGTTTATTCGAGATATCATGTCTACAGCTTGTCCTCTGAATAACTACTATGAAGACAACAATATATGATGTATCAATTATTGTAGCTGTCCTACTAACCTATTTTGAAACTATTTTATTGCTATTTTATCTTTCTCCTCATTAAAATTAATAAAAAATATAAAATAAAATAAAAATTTTTCTCCAAATACAACTTCTCTAGCTGCAATGGAACACCCATTTCTGACAAAGCAAAACAAAATAGGGGGATATAAAAAGAAAACCATTTTCTTGTGAAAAAAAAGAAAAACATGTGTATATACAAGATAGGATAGATACATAGCTACTTTCTCTTAGTCTATTGAGAAGAAAGTTTTAATACTTGTCTAATACTATTTAGACAAGATATCACATCTGTACATTGTCCTCTGAATATCTGCTATGAAGACAATAATATGCAATGTATTAATTACTGTGACTGTCCTACTAACCTGTTTTGAAACTGTTTCAGTGCTGTGTTATCTTTTTTCCTCATTAAAATGGATTTTAAAAAGCAATCTAATAATGACTACTTCTAAAAAGGCATAATAACATCATATGGTAATCTACAAACCATTGAAAAACCCTACCAAGTGACATGAAAATAAAAAGAATGAGTGAAAATATAATTTGGAATTCACTGAAGCAATCAAATACATGCAGTGGAGACTTTCACAATTAAATACTGGAATAATATATGATATAATAAGTGGTGTGTGATGACAATATATTAAAATAATTGGAATAGGATATATAGGTATCATTAGTGAAATGATACAATGTCAAAAATAAGCCTGAAGTATGCATGTTTAGGACTTAATTGAAAAGTCATCCAAAAATAAATAAAAGTCATACAATTATATTATAGATACATATGAGAGATTAAAGAGGTGAAGGTTTTCTAGCAGTAAGAAATTAGAAAAAGAGAAATATTTATATCTCAGGATAAAAGTGGTATGAAATAAATGAAGAAAATGTAAATTACAATATATGTGTAAATAAGATAGCAGCTAAACAAAATGGAAAAAAGATCAAATTTTATATTATTTCTGTATGTTCCTAAATTACATTGTTTCACAAGAGATTATAACTTTGGGATGTAATGGCAGCAACTGTATGACATATCTTTGGGATCAAAGATAAAAATTATCAAGGTATTTCACATTCTCCCGAGGGTGACAGCAAATCTGCTGCACTATACACACTTGTCCTCATGCATAAGTACCATTATTATTGAACAGATGCTCCCAGAAGTGCAGCCTGCACTCTGAGTCCCATGTGCCCAGGACCACTTCTGCATAAAGCTCCCTAACACTTAGCATCCCTCATGACTACACTGCAAGTTCCATGGCTAGACAGCAGATATTTCCCTTCAAAAGAATCAAGTCACAATCGTGCTGCATGTATGAAGCTTACAGAAATTATGCTACATTTTGTTGTCTTCCCCAAGTGTAAAAACACTGATAGAAATTAAGACACTAAAAATTTATGGACGTGAAACTAGCTCTCAAAGTATTTTTCCATTTCCTATTAATGCCTGCTCTCTCAGCCTCAAATTTTAACAGTTCCAAATTTGTTCTCACTGGTTTTCCTGGCCTAGAAGGATACTATTTATGGTTTTCCATCCCTTTTACTCTCATCTACGCCATGGTGTTCCTGGGAAATTGCATGATACTGCACGTCATCCGAACTGAGCCGAGCCTCCACGTGCCCATGTTCTACTTCCTGGCTATGTTGGCCCTCACCGATTTGTGTGTGGGACTGTCCAGTGTGCACACGGTGCTGGGAGTGCTCTGGGAGTTCATTCAAGAGATCAGCCTGGATTCCTGCATTGCTCAGTCCTACTTCATCCATGGTCTGTCCTTCATGGAGTCTTCTGTTCTCCTGGCTATGTCCTTTGATCGCTACATTGCCATTTGCAACCCTCTACGCTATTCCTCTATCTTAACAAATGAAAAAATCATGAAAATTGGTGTAATGATCTTATGTAGGAGCACTTTACTCATTCCTCCTGTCATCATTCGCCTGCGATTCTTAAATTATTGCCGACCTCATGTCCTCTCTCACTCTTTCTGTTTGCACCAAGACTTAATCCGAATGGCCTGCTCAGATATTCGCTTCAATAGTATTTATGGACTGGCTCTGGTGATCAGCAACCTGTTACTGGATGCCGTGCTTATCATTATCTCTTATGTAATGATCCTTCACACAGTCTTAGCCATTGCATCCAGGGAGGAGAGACTCAAATCACTGCAAACCTGTGTGTCTCACATCTGTGCGGTGCTGGTGTTCTACATCCCCATCATTGGCCTGACCATGGTGCACCGCTTTGGAAAACACCTCTCCCCACTGGTTCATGTGCTCATGGGCAACATCTACATCCTTTTCCCTCCCTTGATGAACCCCATCATTTATAGCATCAAGACCCAGCAGATACGAAGGAGAGTCCAGAGATTGTTTTCCTTGAAAGGAACCTAAGCATTGAGATGAAATGTGCAGGTAGTTGAGTCACAAAATGGAGTTTGAAGTTTGAGATTAAGTAATTTAAATGTAGTTATAAACTTCTATTTCATCAATGTGATGAATGCTTTTCATTTTTGATGGCCCTGGTAAGTCTGTGTGATTTTTCTGTATAAATATAATGAATTTTATAAATGGGAAAATTATGTGTAATAGGTAAGAAGTCATATAACGTGTGTAGTAAGTGCATTTGTTGATAACAACCACATGCCTCTGTGGCCAAGAGAGTGATTGTAGTTTAATAACTTTTCATCATTTGAGGCAAACAATGGTGAATAAATCCCTTCAGTATTTACTGAAAAATTAGTTCCTTAATCCATGTTGGAATTCTAAACAACATATTTGTAGGGTATACTTTGTCTTTGCTACTCAATTCAGGCATAATATGGCAACATGTATCTGCATATTATTATAAACAATGAACTATTTAAATTATTCTTTAAAAGTTAAATATATGACCAAAGTTACAATCTGGATGCCAGTTGTGTCCAGCAATCCAGAAACCTCTCAAGCTTTCTCAGGACTAGCAAGATATAAATGACCAGTTTACTTGAGTACAAAAACTTTTTGACGTTGGATTATTTATTAAAATAATAAGCATGATAGAAACTACCACTAGAAAACTATTTAAATCATTTGAAAATATTTTGCATCCATGCTTTTTTGTCTTTTGTAATAAATCTCTGGTCCCAGTGTTTCTATTTCAAAATGCTTATATTATTCCTATGACTAAGTACAATGAAGTATTTCCAATTTTGTTGTTCCATCCAAACTGTCAGGTCAATGGAACTTTCAATTATATGATTGCTTTATTTGAATACACATAGGTTAGACAATATACCTAGTCACCAAAGGTAACATCTAATGGACTTTAGATATACTGTTTGTGTCAGTTTGTCTCAAATCTCATGATGCTTCTTTTCTACTTGTCTACTGAAATTTTTGTAATGCAAATTTTAAACTTTTTAGTAACCATGATAAAACATATCTATGGGAAATTAAAAAAACACTATAGTAAATCACGGGTGACATTAAATAATGCATATGTGTAAGTTTCTTCAACCTATTGCTACAATGCTTTGAGCAACTTTTACTTTAGTAATACTTCAGTATTTCAAAGGCAGATATATTTTTTCTTTTTTTTTCAAAATTTTATTGATAAACAGATAGCAATGAGACAGTTTCAAATCAAATCAGAAGTACAGTTTCAACAAATAATACACTGCATA